ACGCGACTTTTACTTGGTTAACAAGTAGCAGACTGACTTTGAGGAAAATGCTCTGGAAAATGCTTTAGAGATAGGACAATTTCTCCTAAGTTCACGAGTGAAACTCATACAACCCAAAAAATTGCATGAAAGAGATTTTTCCTAGAGATGAACAGTTTTTGGTGCAGAAAGAGTGCAAACAGAGGAATTCTGTCCTTCATCTTTCGGTGATTGACAACACTAAAGATATTTTTCTTCAACAACGTCGGATATACTTCACACTACAATTTCGGTAACAGCCTACGACTGAATAGCTTCACGTATCAATTTTTTATCTTCTGTTAAACGTAAGTTCTACCCATTGCTCAATTTGCAGCCAAAATAGTTTTAAAATTCTTGTGCATTCAACTGTTGGTTGTCTTCAGAAAGTCTGTCTTATAAAACGATCTTGCTGTGGTAGCTCAAAGGTTATGCCGCAGAAAACGTTTGGTGAGAGACCGTTCACTGTTTCCGTTGTTTTGTGTAAAATACTCCGCTTTCTTTTAAACGCAACTGAAATTGTAAGTTTAGTTTTACTTGAACTGACCAGAGCGCAGAACCATTAAGTTTGGGTTTCCAAGAGGCCGCGATAACCTGGATTTCTATATTCATTTGTGAAATCTTCCACAAAGTCTCCGGTAGAAAGTCAACTCTTGGGCTTATTATAAAATGCTACTCCTAAATTAACGTTTCTTTCTAACATTGAGGCGTCCTTCAAATGGGAAGTTCTGTGCTGTCAAGAGATGAACGACCGTACACCATAACATTCATGGTAACTAATGTACGACCCATGTTACGGCTGTCACATAAAGAAATCTCGTACTCCCAACCAAATAACAAAAGATGACCTTGCAATAACGATCACACAGTATTCTCTGTTTAGCATCAAGTTTTCAACTACGACTTTTAATCCAGACATCAAAATAGATATCCAGAATGGAAATAAACGCAATAAAATTTCAAATTTACGACAACAGTTCTTACCAGTCAAATCCTTCAGATGCATTTCTGAAGTACACGAGAGCGTCTTCGGTGAGTACAAATCAGCTCCAAGCAAAATGGTCGATACGAACAACTCCTTGATGCTCAATTTGGCTGACATTCTAGTTTGTTAGAGTTGTATGTTGACTCTTTGACTAAACTTCCTTCTGCTCCAAAAAAATTCATGTGACTGGTGGGAATTTGAGCTCCGAAATTTCACTCCGAATTCTTTTAGGTTACTTCAATCTAAGAGATATATATGGCATTCAATAATAAAGCCGGTAGGTTTTCTCGTAAAATTTCAGTTTCCCGTACTACGTAGCATGCCATCACCTACAACGAGTGGAAATTTTGTCGATTGTCACGCTTAGACTAGCCACATGTACACACCAGCAGGCACTGGACTATTAAACAACAGTACTGAAAGCATAGTTTCTTTGCTGTTGAGAGAGTTACCAAAAGCCGAGGTGATTGTTTCTATCAGAAGTAGCCCATTACCTTCAAACCGTTTCGCTTTCCCAGTCACCAAAGTCAACTCCACCAAAGTTGGGCACTTTTATATTGAGATATGCACCTCTCAATCTCAAAAAGATGCTTTTTCCTTGTAAACCTGGTTTTTCAGAATGCCTTTTCCCAAGTTCGATTTTCTTGAAATCGTCAAAACTGCTTCATATGTCCACATAAATCGCCCTCTGTCATGGCAACCAAGTTATGCTTAAGCTAGCAAAATGGTGGCTAAAAAGGGTTTACTTACTCAGGGTGCTAGTGTAACCTAGCAAAAAAGTGGATGTATGTACTTCAGGTCTCCGAATATTTGAATACAATTTGGATAAAATTTTGTGAAATTTATAATGGAAAATCCATCGACAGCCCACGACCGGTTTCGCCCTTCTTGGGGCTCATCAGGTAGGCGCAGTCCCCGGGTTTCCGTCAACCTTATGTTCTACTTGAAACCAAATTGCACGAAACTAGCGAATATACACTCATCTGCAAACTAATTTGGTTCTTTTGATTTACATTGAATCCTGGTAGGTGGCAATGGAAATATTATCTTTTGTAGATAAACAGTCACGCTGAAATTTGTCCCAGAACTGTGATAACACTTTTGTGCTGAGGTGGGTTTGGTAACCAGCCTTCCCTAATAGCCGAATATCACATCGTTTGGACGGACGTGTCACGTGCAGGACACGGACCAAATGAAGCTGTGTCCTGATTGGTCAGAATGTCAGCCACTCCGAGTCGAGCACTTTTGAATCGACGCTACTCGCCCCGTCACGGAGATTCTGAATGACCTTGTGGAACACTTTGTGACTACCTTATAAGTACAGTTGTAATAATTTTCCTTTGTCTCCGTAAAGGGGCTGTCTAAAGCTACAGTACCTTGTGATATACCTTATTTGGCGGAGCAGGAAGCCAAGGGACCAATACAGAGTTGCACTACCGTTCAGGAAGACACAACAAGGTGTCTGCCCTTTTGTGAAATTTTTCCCTGTGAAAAAGTCAAAGGTTACAATAAAGGAAGTCCAACACGTACATAGTCATTCTTGGCACCCTAAAATGTCATCGGTTGGTTGCTGCGTCATCTCAACGATATGATTTGTTTGTGAAATTTGTTTGTGATAATAATACATGAATAAAAAGCGAAAACAGCAAGCGATTTGATCGAACTTAGATTTCGTCAATAAATACCACTCCGCAGAGTTGTAAATGTATGAGCAAAACTTACGCACAGCCGGCGTCAGATTGCCTTATTTTAGAAATAGAAAATGACTCGTTTTTTCAACTTCCTGAGAGTTAGACTTCAGCGAGTTTTACGCTAACAAAGACAAAATAAGCTCACATGCAAAGACTTCATACGTGCAGTCATTCACTGGGTCACACAAAATAATTCGGATTGATAAAAATTTCGCGAACAACTCGGATTAAAAAAGTTTACCTTTTTATTGCATTCTTGTTAACGCAATGAAGACTTGACAGCCTGTACGCCTTCGGGGTTCCCGCTAAGAGGCGCAATCTCACAAATAACTCACAGCTTCCGGTTGGATAAAGAAGCTGATCTTGTATAACGCATTCATATTTTACGAGCAAGTCTGCCTCCTCTATTTGGACCGGAAACTGCAGGAAAATTTTGTACTTTTACCAACCATATGTCATGTTTGACATGCTTCAAGAATTTTTACAATAAATTTACAGAAATGCACTACTTTCTGTTGTAGCAATGGAATTCGGCAATATTTCGAACATTTATGGGACAGCTTCCATCAGTGGTCGACATTTTCTTGAGTTGAAATCCAATCTGCATATATTTTTGTAATCTTCAATAACTTTTGCCGAAAATCATTCTGAGGTTGAACAGTGGTGAAAGTTTTCCTTAAAGCTCACTGAAACTCAGCAATATTATAGCGAAAGAATTACAAAGATTAGTTTGGATAGAAGTCAGAATGCGGTCGCCGCTACAGCGGTCAATAAATACAACGAAGAGGCTTACAGTATGGTGCAAAAATCACACAGTCATGCTTTTACCTCTGGTACTTGAAACGCACCCATCCAATTTTGTTTGCTTTATACGGACCAAACATTTGGCGGATGTTTACTACACGGATGTCTGGCGATATCTTATTTCTCGGAAAACTTCGCTCATAACTTTACTGTCTTTGCTAAAGGCTTCATTATGGACAAGACTGTCCATTACAAACAATTGTGATCGCGCTCGATTTGTGCCTTCGGGATCACTTAAACACCCGTTTTTTTGCGGTTGAAGAACTACGGCGGCTTTACATGTTGGGGCTTACTTGGAAAATCCTCTTCTGAAATTGCATGTGAAAGATGGGCAGATATAGACGATCAGAACATGTTTGAAGCTTTTGGCAATTAAATTTACATCTGGTTTACAGCAGTTAGAAAAACGTTCTCGTAATCGACTACTATTTGCAAAGTGGTGGATTTTCAAACCTAGTAATTTCTGAGTTTCAGCTTAATGTTACCTTGAAAAATAAACTGTGTCGATAACGTCCTTTGATTATGGCACTATCAGTTCTGTTTTTCAGTTTGTTGTTTTGATTATAAATAACGCTTGGTTGAATAGAGAGGATACAGTTTGATGCAACCAGTGGAAAATTTCAAAAAAATCACGGTGTAAAACTTGGATTTATGTTAACGATGATCCACTCCGTCAGTTTTGTTTTACCAGTTATTTTAACCGCACCTCGTGTACCAAACTTTAGTCGACGTCTGCTTCAATAGGAAGATATATGAGGAAGAGGTGACGGGCTATTCAGTGCCGATAAACGATGACTCAGCACATTTCCACTTTTACTCAACGAAATTCATAGTTTCGTAATACGTCTTCTCGAACGGGCATTTTAGTTGTAGCATCTTATGCTCATTCAAACTGAATGCCCACCATATTCTGATATCGTAAAATAGTACTTTCTTATCTATCGGCTTTGCTGACAGTAAAGCCTCATTCCGGGCAAATCTACTGATGAACAATAGTGCCACGGCGATCATATTTTGTATTTTGGAAAGAATACGCATTATGGGAGAGCTAGCTAGATACTGCTAGCAGTGATTAGTAAGTAATTTAGATGCCAATTGAGGTGACTAGTAGCAGGTATTTTGCTCTTACTTTGGCCTCACAAGACTGGCAGGGTTATTAGGTTATTTAGGCTTCACTAGCGTTATCTCAGAAAATTTTGAGGAAAAGCCTAGTGATTCGATGAAAATACTTAGATGATTAACTGTTTGAAAAAGATGTCTCAGGCTGCATGCAGCAGAAGGAACAGAATTTCAGGAATGCAAACCCCTTACAGGTATGTCAAATGTCTTGCAACGTTTCAAAGTTTTCACAAACTCATTTTAAGAATTTTAGCGAAATCTTTCATGATGTTTGCCAGGGCGCTCAAGCAGCGACGTTGGATTATTGGCTACTCTTGCATCCGTATGATCAACAGGATAGTATCTGGGACGAAACATCAAATGCAGCCGCAAAACAAACTCACCATGATCCGAGCGAGCAACTGGAATAAATGAAAGATAAAATAAAGTAACATGGGAACAGCAGCGTTAAGAAAGTTAATAAAGTGTAAGTGTTTTGAAGGTGATAATGCGCTTCAGTGACAGATCATTCAAGGAGTGTCATAAAAAAAGTGTCATAAAAGGAGTGTCATAAAAAAAGTAACGGTGAAGGTCATTGAATAATTGCCGGCCAGTCCTGAATTACTAATGTGAATAATAAACTTACGCAAATGAAGCATATTGTTCACTAAAAACACAGCATGAGTATTTTTATCAAAGAGTCTTTCTGTGTTTATCCTAGATATACAACGGACAATAGAAACATACAACTGTTAAAAAAGTGACTTATGTTCCTTTGTTAGCCATTTTCTCCCTTCCTTGAGTTTAATTCCCCCATGGCTTTTCGTAGATGGATCATCATAAGGAGGTGGATTCGCGTAAAGAAGCCTCCATCATGAATGTTTATCCAATGAAGTGTATCAAAAATACGTGGTGTGTGTATCATAATTTTCTGCTTTTTTTCAACCGAGGATTTTATCACATTCAACATGCACTAGGGGTTCAGTAGGCAGGGTTTCCCCAAAGCCATGTTATGTCCTGAGAGAGTCAAACAGAACCAGAGTCAGTTAACTCTTGCCACTAAGAGTCGCACTCTACTGCGCCCGCCATCGCAGTATCCAGAAATTATCATTACATTACGCTCTCTGTATGTGCGAAAATAGTCGTTGGCTGACTGAATATTATCTAGCAAATCTTTTTGGCGATATGCATCTTAGACAAAAACCCTGTCCGTGATAATGGCAGCGGGGATATTTATCTGATTAGAAAATTTTTCCGGTACTTCGGCAAATAATATCCAGTAACCGCCGCCAACACCACACTATTGAAGACCGCCAGTTCTCACTCATCGAGGAGTATGAAAAAACCCCGTTTGTTTGACCTTCGAGAGTGACGCCTGTTCCACTGGCTTCTGGAAATTTCATGCGCATAGCAGGTTGATCAGAGTGAGCATTATTATGAGCCGAATGAGCAGATCGTGTGCTATTAGATCATAATAGAAAGAAAATAACTTTTTCAAGAGAAAGAAAAACAGCTTTTTTAACACGGCAGATGTAGATGTATTTCGAACTTTGAAATTAAGACTTCCTAACCAATCTTCATGAACTTTGTTCGAGTTGAAAAAAACTTTTAGCTTTGCACATGCCAAAATATGTTGCATTTTGCGCTTAGTTGGAAATGGATTCGGGTCCAGTTGCGATTTGGCATTTCGTGTCGCAACAAAATCAATCACGACTTTACTGAAATGGCGTCCCCAATGACTTGCGAAAAATAGCAATTAAAATTGGATGAGAAAAAGTTACACGCTACACATTAGCCCATGGTTGAAACACGATATTATGCATGCTATATTGTACCGTGCTGGATAGCTGAACCTGTAGTCCCACAGAAAGATACTGATTACTTTAGATCTCGATTTCGTTTTCTAAGGTGGCCAACCTCTGTTCCTGATGAACGTTTTTCTTCGTATACTTTGCAGCCTTATTTTGGTGCGCTAAAAGATAGACCGGAATGTTACCGCAAGTCAGTAACTTCTCTTGACAATTAGTTTAAGCTTAGATATTCATCTTTATGGATAAATATCGGCAGGTATTTGACAAACTTTAGAATTCCATTAATTCTAGAAATTTTTTTCGCTATTGGGAACTTTGTGAACGACTTTCATACAAATAGCCTTCAATGGGCAGTAAAAACTAAGCAATTATGTCATGAATTTACTAGTTTCCAAAAGAAATATAAAATACTTATGGCGTCTGAATCCTTTTATAGTTGGTTGACAGAGTTTACAAACATCCAGTAAGACCTGGTTAGGAATGGCTCAAAAAAGCGCGCTACGACAAGAAAGTATCTGTGGAAGTAATTTCTATCGTTGTGCTGATTAACATCATAACATGAGATTAATTGGTAAAAGTCATCTCGGAGAACTTTGTGTTTGACCAAACAATCCGTTTTCCGATTGGCAGATCTATGTGGGTCCTTTTAAATAGCGGGCGTTTGTCATACTTTTGAGAACAGCGATGTGGGTTTTCTTCAGACCACAATATCAATCTTGCGGTTGTCTACATTGCAAGTGATCGTGATTCCCCACGACTTCTGTCTGCAAAGGTAACAACCAGTTATTCATTATTTTCACTTCCTGTGGGTTATAACCCCCTGCGTAGAACATACAAAGAACATTTAGAAGGCAAAGATGTCCCTTTTGGCTTTAACCTAGCTGCTCACCTGCATTCATCACGGCAATACTTTCTAAAACGCAATAAAGAAGAGTAATGTCAGGACAAGTCTGGATATTTAATTTTATTTACTTCTAGATAGAAGGACAAGATAAAAATACGTTACGTCCCAATATTGTTCGCCCTTTCATTTGTCCATGTTTTACCTTAACTGGTGATCGACTGTTGCCAAATAAACGCCCTATTGAGACAAGCGTTCCATATTGTAATCGTTAAAAATACCAGGTGTAACCGTTTTACATTTTTGTTGTGCGAAATTTGCAGCGGTGCGCTTCGAACGAGCGTTTGGGGAGATACCGGTCAGCTTACTTTCTGTTATCGGCTAAACAACAAAACCCTTGACAGATCATCTGTGTCAATGAGTCATTCGCCTATCCACTGTAATAACCGTGAGTTTCTAGTCTGGTAACCCTAATACTCGCGCACCATCAAGGTTTCAATCCCATATTCTGGCCAAAAGTCCTTACAGTGAATCGGATAAATAAAACGTTAGGACTTAGAAACAGATAGGCTAAAAGCGATATTTTTATCCATAGCAATAATTGAAGATTTTTGAGCCTTTCCGGCACAATTCAGCAAAGACTTTAAAATCTTCCGCTACCATCCAAACCCACGTGCTACTTATCGGACTGTTTTTCTTGTAATCAGCAACTTGCCCCAGTTGTTCTATGGCCAGAAAAAAGTTTACTCAGTATCGAACGGGCAGGCATTCCGGAAAGCCGTAAATTATTTTTCCGCGCTTACATCAACAAGAAGGTGAAACACAAGCAGAACGTCTGAAAAAAAGCGTTCAACAACAGGACTCAGTGTTTCAGACTTTTGTTTCAAAAGCTACGTGTGCTCACAAAATTTGGGTCAGGAGTTGGTGGGCATAATCTGTCTAATTTGATCATAGATGATTGCAGACTGTAGCGCAAACGCAGATCAAGTAATTCTATTTCAGAATTACAGAAGAGACATTGGGGTTTGTGTGGAAATCTACTTTTGAAATGATAGGTGCGGTTATTTGTCGTCAGCAAAAGGTAATTACTCTCAAAAGTCCACTTTTAAATGGGGTACTACTGAGGATGCATTAATTCATATGCGTATTGCGCCTGCGCAAAAGTACACTCTACATCAAAAGTTTCGTGCGTAAGGAGCTGATGAAAGTGGCAGCTTACTCGCATGATTTGTTCTAAAATGATAATCATTTAGTGAAATTGTGTGGCTAATAGTTTGAACTCGGCATGATTGTACGCAAAGGTTTATTCGTTGAACAACGGGGTTGATATTACTGATTAAAGAGATTTATCTCGGACCCTATCTGTTAAATTTCTAGTAAATTACTCTAATCGAATGAGTAGTTTATTTAAAAAAACGTTGAAGCGGGATGAACCAGAGCTCCAAGTTTCTTTACTGAGTTTTACCACCACGGATGACGGATGAGCTAAGAAAGCAACGGTGACTTTTGGCACTGAATGATGACAATCTTTGATGGATAAACTCATGTCTGAGAATCAGCAGAGCACAACTACGCCCATTATATAAAGAATAATAATATGGTTACCACAATTCCAAAGAGGATGATCAAAAGCAGGTCGCCTACTCAGCACTATTTACACAAAGAATTTTCAAAGTTGTATTTAATATATTCTCACTTTTTATAAATTTCTGATAAAAGCAGAACAAATTGATGCATGGTCAATCGTAGTACTCAAATACAAACTACCTGCACAAAGATGAAGTAGTATTTTGATTGACTTTGCTGCCACTTCTCTTTGATAAGCAATTTGCTACCAGTAGAAAAACAGATGTATATAAGCCGGCCTAACTTTTATTTATGGTAGCAGTTGTTAATGGCATCAACAAAATTCAAGCAAGACGCTTCACGGGCAAATTTTTAAGTTTTGTCTCGATGGCAATATCACTTTTGAGATTTCCGTACATTTCCATTCAAGCTGACACCAACCGCCTATCCATTAACCGGTTTTTTAACTGCAGGGCATCTTCTGAATAAAGGTCAGCCGGTTAAACTGATTTATGAACACGATCTTGGCCTNCCAGATAGGTGCAGCCGAAGAGCGTCCTTCCCCTTTATCAGTACGCTGTACAATTTGCTTTCAGTTTGCATTTTCCTACTGAACCGTGCAGAGTGACTATTATTGAAAACGAAACAAATTGCAAAATTTTGATACTCAAATTATGCGGCATACGTAAAATTCTTTGTTTGGTGATCGCATGACTGTCCTTTACACTGCGCGTTTTGTCCACTCTTTGGTGTACGGCGGCAAAATTATCTTGCAGGCATACAAGAACCTCACCTTGTTCACCAAGTCCTTATGTTATGCTGAGAGTCCAACAAGTAAAACGAAGTTCGCAAGATAATCTTACTCACCTGCTCCAACAGGCGACAGTGCAGTTGGTATTCCCTCTGCAAGTTACTTTTAGCTTGGAGTTCTTTGGGCTTGCCGACACTAACTCAATCTAATTCAGTTCACTCCAGTCAAGGAAGTGGAGCTAGAGCTATTCGTGGTATTTAGAACACTGTGAACTAGTGAAATGCGCAAACTCGCAAACTTGCAAAGTTCCACTGCAGTTTGGTTTCTTTGTAGTATCAAAACGAAGTTTTTTCGCTCTTAATTGTGAGATTGAAAATCGGCATCGCTATTCACAGCACAGCATGCATTTTTGAAGTTCAGATGAAATTTCAAAAGCTATTCCATCTTTGTCTTTTAGATGGCTATAAAATGGGTAGATCAGTCAACGTAGCCAGAGTGCAGACACTTTATTGTAGATATATCGTTGTGATGATTGGTTGATTGGTTGACTGTGTTGATTGACTGATTGTGTTGATTGGTTTTAGAACACTGGGAAAAAGGCCTGTATATGTAGTTTAGCTCAGACAGAGCACACAAACCAACGGTAGTGTTAGGATACGTTTTACAATAAAGCTCACTGCCGGTTGCTGAAATGTAAATTTTGCAACAATGCAACGGATATCCATGATAGTCTAAGAACTCGGAAAAGAGGACTTAAATAAATGGGAGAACCTTAGCTTTCCAGCTGCACCGTGCTTGTAGGGCACTAAAAAACACGGAGTTTGCGTGCAACGGATGAATGCATTTGCATGCCGTGACTTGGTGGGTCAAGCCAGCTTTCAGTAATATTAAGACAGTTCTGCTTGACTACTTGAAAAGCAAGAGACTCAGTACTATGGTGTTTAAACTGGCAATGGGGTTTTAAGCATACTTGATTGTTTATGGATTGATGCTTCTTTCCAAGTTTTATGAACCAATATGGGCGAGATTCAACTCATGTTGATTGCAGAGTTCTTTCCTGATTGCATCAGAATGTGCGGGATGGAGATCAACTCTCATTGGACGCCTTTATTCGTAAGACTGGGGTTTCTTCATACTACGGGCCTCAGTACAACCTTCTACTACTGTTTGCATTCACAGTAAATAGAGTTGCCTAGCACCGCCGACCAATTAGGAAGTTTTAAGGTAAACAAGTAACCATTGCATTCACAGAGCATTTATTATCGGACTCGACCACACTCTTGGGGATCTCAGTATTTGAAACAACATTTAAGTGTGAAACCTCTGGGAGTAAGGCCCATTATCAAGTGATTTTTAGCAGAATCTGAACTTTCAAATTACTTGCAAACAGGCCACATCCGTGAACTTAGTGCTATGGTGGTGTTTACTACGAGAGTAGACTTCTCGAAGTATTCCATAAACAAAAGTTTTCAGAAAATATCTGCATTATTAGGTCTGCTCTTTTGTAGAACAAAAGAAATAAGCCGTGCTGTTTTACACTTGGATTTGTAGCTTGGGCTATTCTGACGATGATCATAAGATTTCCCTCTAAAGTCACCTATCGTATTTCGTTAACAGCCATTTACAAAAAGAATTGCACCAGCGAGCCATCAATCATTAAAGGAACATATAGCCTATTAAAATATAAAACAACCCTTACTGTTTTGCTTCACATATATGGGGAATGATACAGTTGGAGGAGTACCAACTTTTTTTGTCGTGTACCAGTGTTGAAGACCTCGGTTCACACTGACCGTGACAAACAACACGACTATTTTCAAATTTTTTTCGAGTTACTTTCGTCCAAGTGCTTTGTCTGCGGTTGTTTTGATCTGAGTCCGCCAGCAGGAATAAAGCTAATCCGAAACACTATAAAAGCCTGACAGTTCAACACGAA